CGGGCACAGGGACAGCGTCACCCCGGGGCCCTGCATCACCCTGGGACCACGTCACCTGCAGCACCGCAGCGCCCACCCAGCTCATCTCCTCCCATTCAGCCTCCTTCCCCTAAAACCTTGACTTTTTGGGTGGATTTTCCCCCCCTTGATACTTTTGCAACCCCACCGCTGATGTCCTTGCGGCCACTGAAAAATTCACGAGTTCCCTGGAAAGGACAGACCCAGGGCAAAGTTGCCCTCTATTTTCCCTAAGATAACTGCAGAGATCCAGGCCGAAACTTTCCCGGGATGAACAGCCAGAGCGGTCTCGGGTAAAGAGTCTTTTTCCAATCTTTTCCAGCCCAAGCCGTTCAGCCCCACTTAGGAACTTGCCTATCCACATCCGCTTCCCAGCCCAAGTAGAATAAAAAGGCTGGGAATTAACCCGGACATCAGATGGCTTCCATTAACTGCAGCAATCTCCCCTCAGCCCCCTGATTACGGGATGGAAGATGCAGTTTATAAACAGCAATTGTTTGCTCTGCAAATCCTAAAACAAAGTTCTAATTGCAGAGCGTGGCTGGGAGAGAGGCACTCAGCCTGTCACCTCCGCCATGCTCCGAATGCAACAGGTTTAATGCTAGAGGAGAGCGTTTGGCTGTAAAATTGGGTGGGAAATGCAATGGGGCTGGGTTAGGGCTGTGTTGAGGGCGCAGGGCTCACCCTGCGTGTGCGAAAGCGCCCGCGCCGAGGAGCAAGAGGAGCCCTGCGAGGAGGCAGGCGCCGCGTCGGGGCATCTCCCGGCCCTTCCCGTGTGCCGCCATGGAGCGTCGTTTTCCGACGGGAGGCGCCGGCTCCTACCGCATGTCTCGGCGCTGGAGCCTGGAATGGGAAGAGCAGCGGCGTGAGAATGTCCCCCTGTCCCCCTGGGACTCGCTGCAAGGACTGAAGAGACAGAGGAAGCGTCTGCCCAGTGCCACCAAGGGGCTGCGTGCCCCTGTGGGGACAGCGGGACGGAGCCGTCACGCGAGGCGGCTCATTGCAGCCAGCAGGCAAGGGGGACACTGCCAAAGCAGAGGGGACCACGAGGGACACGGCGCGAGGGCTCCCGCCGCAGCAGGAGGCTCCCGGATCCCGGGATTCGCGGAGCCGGCGGCAGGGCCGAGACAGCGGGCTGCGATTTCCTAATCCACGGAGCGCTGCAGGGCTGCCTGTTCCCACCCCAAGCACTGAAATCCGATCTGCCTCCTTTAAAACACACGGACTTTTGCCAAAGGAGGGAAAAAAAAGGGCTTTAAAGGCTGCGTGCACAGTCTGAGAGCAAGTACTGACCGCGCTGCAAGAGGCTGTGGGTTTCTAAGGACAGACATGATGCAGGTCAGTATCAATATCTAATTTAAACCTCATCTGATTTGAACAAAACACTTGGCCTCTGGATGGCAGCATTTAAAGGAGGAAGAAATAGAGAAACCCACCTTAAATACATGCCAAGCACAAAAAGGATCAGGCTTTCTGATTAAGCTTTGAGAGAGGAGTTGCTGGAGTGGGATGCAGGAGACAAGAAACATCCCGCTGCAACTGCAGAGGCAGGGAGCTATCTAGAAGTTAAATGAAAACTATTTCTAATTAGCCTTCTAATGACTAATACGTGGTATTTCCATCATCAGGAAATCTTGGATGATCTGGAGGAAGGTTTTAAAAAAATCACGGAAAAGTCTTCTCCCTTCCCAGGCCTTCTGGAAAGATCCCAGCGCAGAGCAGGGATGCACCAGCTGCTCCATCCACTCTCTCCAGGCTCTAATAGGACACACATTCCATTTGCTTCTCTTGGAAGGTGAGCAGCTCGAGCAGTCAGAATAACCCTCTGCATCTCAAGGTGATGGCTAATACCAGAAAAAGTTTCAAAAATGAAAGAAATTATAGAATCTACTTGTGTTTTAATGACTCCATGCAGATCATCACCTTTAAAGCTGCAGAAGATCCTCCAACCTGTTGCCTCTTGAGTGCTCATTTCTAAAGCACCTAATTTAAGAAAAACATTCTCATGTTTAAAAAAAAAAAGAGAAAAAGAAAAAGGAAAGACCAGCAGGGTTTGCACAGGCTCCAGTTTCTCGAGCTCGGTGCTGTGGGGATGGGAAGCTCCGCAGCTGAATCTCAGTGTCTGCAGGTTTAGGGGGCAGCAAAGTCCCCAGCCGACCTCGTGCTCCTGTGATTTGCAGCAGGTCCCTGTCC